ACCCACCTGGTTGCAAGCAGGGGCTTGATCCTTGGTCCCGTCACAGAAATGCTCTGCCAAAGGTGACGGAGCGCCAGGCCCGGAGGAGCCCCTGGAACGGCACTGGGGCCGGGAACACACACAGGCTGGCCACTTGCACTTGAACGGGGCGCCTCCCTGGCCTGCTGATGGAAACAAGTGACGTTTAAAGGCAGTTATTTACGGGTCCCTAAGTTTCGGCAGAGACCGCGACCACCTCCTGGAGAGGAATCCGGCGGCTCTCCTTAGGGCTTTGGGTCCTTCCTCGAGAGGAAGCCCAGGGCATGGGTGCCGCGGGTCCCAGGGCAAAGCCCACACCTCCCAAGAGGGGCCCCGCGCTGGGGACGCGGGTGCCGACGGCGGAGTCCCCTCACAGCTGGGAGCTGACGTGCGCACGGCTCTCTCTGCAGACTGGGGGAGAACAAAATAACGAGTGAAGGAGGAAAGTGTCTCGCCCTGGCTGTGAAGAAGAGCAAGTCCATCTTTGAAGTTGGGTGAGTAGAGGCAGAGGCACCTGAGCCTGTCCTGGGCGCGAGAGCGCCGGCTGTGGGGAGGCCGCAGAGGGCATCCTCCCTGGCGCCCTCTGGCTTCTGCATGGGGACCGGGAACCGTTTGGGGAAGTCAGCTGTGCAGACTTTTATTTCATTGCTGCACAAGTCTGTGATGGCCACCAGCAAACGGAGGGGGTGCCGTTCTAGCCCGAGGTGGTAAGCTTCTGCGGGCCGATGTTCTTCATCTTGGGAAGGCGTTTTAAGAAGATTTATGATTTTAGAGAGAGCGAGTGAGCATGTGTGGGAGTGGAGGAGGGGCAGAGAGGGAGGAGGACAGAGGATCCCAGGCAGGCTCTGTGCGGATGGCAGAGAGCCCGATGTGGGGCTTGAACTCATGAACCGTGAGATCATGACCCGAGCTGAAGTCTGACGCTTAAGCGACTGAGACACCCAGGTGCCCCCGGGGGCTTGTTGTGTTTTGTTTTGTTTATTGCGTAGTCGTGCGGCCATCACCCCCATCCATCTCCAGAACCCTTTCCATCTTGCAAAAAAGCGACTCTCTACCCGTTAGACGATAATTCCCCCTTCTCCCTTCCTCCCAGCCCCTGGCCACCACCCTTCTGCTACCTGTCCCTGTGAATTTGACTGCCGTGAGTACGTCACCTAAGTGGAGTCATACAGCATGTGTCGCTTTGTCACTGGCTTCCTTCACTCAGCCCAGGGTCCTCGAGGTTCATCTGTGTTGTAGCATGTGTTGGAATTTCCTTCCTTTTTAAGGCTGAGTAGCGGTTCATTGGATATATCTTGTCCATTCATCTGGGCACTTGGGTGGCTTCCACATTTTAGCGACCGTGAACAGTGCTGCTATGAACGTGGGCGTTCAAATGTCTCATCGATTTCTGGGGGCTGTGTCCCCAGAAGTGGAATTTTTGGATCGGCTGGTCATTCTATTTTAAGATAGTTTTTTTTAATGTTTATTTTTAAGATAGGGAGTGCGTGAGCACAAGTTGGGGAGGGGCAGAGAGAGAGGGAGACACAGAATCGGAAACAGGCTCCAGGCTCTGAGCTGTCAGCACAGAGCCCGACGC